TTTATTTCAAGGTCAATCTGTAGAACTAAAAAGAAATTTAAGAAGAAACAGCCTGCACAGAGCTTTGTTTATAGCTTAGCCCCATCTCACTTCTGAGCGACCTCGGGGCATGCAGAATTAAAGCAGAACCTTCATGTAACTGGAAAACATGGAAAATAAACTATCTGGGGGAAGACACAGCCCCTACCAAGTGGGTCACAGTACCACCAGCCTCCCATGGTATGTCCCCATGTGTGAGACATGGATATCATTGGGTATTTCACACCCAATCAGTCCTTTTCAGTTTGGTGGAAGAAGCCCCTTGCTGCTTGGAAAATAGTTGGATTTTAACACAGAAGCCCCCCTATAGCTCCTTTATCAGCACCCCAATCTCCTGCATCCTCCCCAGCTGATGGAGCCAGCATCATCCCCAAGCCATGTTGAGGATGATGCCTCCTCCAATAATATCTTCCAGAAGTCAGTTTTGGTTGTCCCTCTGGTTTGCATTACCCCACCTGCTCTGCACTGTCCACGTGTGACACTGAAGGGGTGAAGACATGCAAGAGGCTGACCCCCACAGCAGGCACACCAAACCTCCCATTGCTGAGTTGCAAAAGGTGAGTGAGGGGGAGAAGAAATGTTCCTGACAGTTTTACAGTGGTTTGGCATTGGGCCTTTGAGGTGGAAAACCTTTATCTTCACATCGGTTTTGAAATTATCTGTTTTGGATTAGGAAATGTTATACCTGTGCCTCAAAACTGCAAAAATTCCCCCCAGGGATCTGATCTTCCAACTTGGAAGCAGTTTTGTGCTGGCTGTGTCCGGGAGAAAGAGAGTGATAAAAACATGGTGAAGAGCTGGGAGTCTCCATTTTTCATAGAAAAATTCGGGAACAGCCAATGTGTCACTTTCTGGATTGCATAGCTCAGCTGGAGCACTTGGGGCAGCTGCCCTCTCCAGCCCAGGGAGGGGAGAGGAGCACAGGGGGAAGGAGACCAGCATCCAGACCCCTCACTGCCATCCCTGAGGGTGTTCAGGAGCTGCTCCTAAGCCCCAGTGGAGGAGAGGCTGGGTTAATTAATGTCTCTCTGGAAAATACAACACTGGCCCTTAGTCAGGGCTTGTTCTTACCCTCACCTGCCCTGCAGCTTTTAGCTCCTCTGCAGGCAGAGGAAGAAAAGGGACTGGAGACAGATGATGCTGCCAGATCACTCTGCAGCTCAGACATGTAGGGAACAGCCCTGTTCTCTCCTCTTTCTGGTTATGTCACAGTTGTCTAGTCTGGAAAAACAAACTATTTGGGGCCTTTGGGCATCACACAACACATGATGACAAGCACAGTGTGTGCCATACCAATGAAATCACATGTCACCCTGTAATAGCACCAGTTTAACATATTTTTAAACTGGATTTATGCCTGTGACAGATGTTCCCCTCACCCAAACTCATTTTCTCAAGGAATCCTTAAAATCTGTTTCTCCTTTTGCAAACACCACACAAAGGGACTGTTCCCAGAGAAAAACATTTAGCCTGCAGGTACTTTCTTAAGTGGGCTATTTGACCAGCTGTCCTTTTGTGGAAATAACTGCTTGGAATCAGCAGAGTTCAGCTCCTGATTTCTAATTCCACTGGAGGCACGTGCAGTGACTGCAAAACCTTTCTGGAGGGAAACACAAACACAGGGAGCAGGGCTGATGGGCCAAGTGTCTTTTGGGAAGTGATTAACCTCTGGTAGGATCAGGCTTCTCATCATGAGAAAACCTTCCTGGACAAATTCCGTCTTAGCATTGTCCAGGCTGCTTAATGCAGGGAGCTACAAGGCAAACACTGCTACAGGATCCACAGGTTTTTTTCTTGTTACTGCCATTACAAAAACTCAACAATCCAAAACCCTCAAAAACAGACAATGGAAGCACAATATAAAAGATAATGGAAAATCAGCAAAAATGAGCTCTCTCTCAGAAAAAAAGCTGAGAAATACTGTTTCCTTTTTGTTTCTCCATCTAATGGCCATGTAGTGCAGGAGGATACAGTCTCTAAGAAGCCGTAGCAGATTGGAGTCTGTTGTAGCCTTCAGCTGGTGGCAGAATGGGGATTTTCAAACAGAAACATGGAATGCAAGGAGAGGTGCCCTCCACCAGCAGGAGACACTGCCCTTTGCCACTGGATGTGCTTAAATCCCATCAGCATTTATGGCAATTACACAAGCACAAACCAGAGGACAGCAGAGCCACTCCCACCTAATTCCACCCCCAACCCAGAGCACAAGAGGGTCACAGCCACCTCTGCCACTCACATGTCTGCTGCTGCAGTACTGCCCACGGTGACAGCAGAGCACAACGCAGCACTGTAAGGGCACGTGCCCAGGATTAACACCATGTCTCACCTCTTTACTAACCCATGGGGAATTGGCTTTAAAGTGATTAAATAGAGCTTTTTGGTAAGGTAGAAACCTGAGGTCTTGCAGGAGATTGGGGTCATGTAGATCTTGACCCACGCAATGGTTGACTCTGAAATATTACAGGGAACAACATCTGCTCACGGCAGGCAGCCTTCCGGCCAAAGGACAGGGATTATGCTGCACAGCCCTGACTTATCTGCATTACTGACTGTCTCTGGCTAATTAGCAGTTAAGTCTTAGTAGAAACATCACAGCAAAATCCACTGCCAGGGAGGTACCAGCTTTTAGCATGTGCTCTCCAGGTCAGGGACTGTTTGCCCTTCAGCTCCCTATAAAAAACAGACTGTTTTCAGCGATGCCATAAAACCTTAGATGGATGCGGTGTTAATTATTTCAAAGTGAGAGGTGGAGCAACTGTGCAGCATTGGTAGCTCAAAGGGACTTTGTGTGTGGATGCCTGGGAGGTTCTGGCAAAGCAGAGCTGGGGGATGCAGGGTGGAGGATACGGGGTGACCAGAACCCCAGGCTGTGGTTAGGGGGAGCTCTGGGGGGAGCTGGATCAGCCACAGCAGGGAGTGCAGGGATGGAAAAGCCAGGCAGCGGGGTGCTGTGCCCTGACATCACTTGGCCAAAAACCTGCTCTCTCACAGACCTCATCCAGGTCACCAAAACTCCCTGTCCTCAAAACACTGCCAATTAAATGGGATGATAATTGTGTCCTCCATAATTGCAGACATGGCCCTGGGGGAGCTGCCTGTTGCTGCTGCAGTGCCCCTAGCTCAGCTGAGCCAGCTCCCAGAGCAAGGAAAATTATTAGAACCTTACACATTAATAAAAATATTATCACCTCACTCTGCAGAGGAACAATGAACACTCACTGCAAGCCTCATCACACTGAGCATCTGCTCCAGAAAGCTGGAACACAGCGAGCCATCAAGGCAGTCACTGCCCCTGAGGAAACTCAAACTCTGGCTCTGTATGGTGGGCAGATGCCTTTGGGAGGTCTCCCTGCCAGCATTTTAAAAAAGGGTTTCTAAAATGAAAGGCAGAATGATTTTCACTTTGATATGTAGGCCTTGCCATATTTTCTGTGTCTTGACCTATATCCCAAATAATATGTTACACTTCACCTCCAAAGCATGCAACAACCTCTCCAGTGCTCAGGGATTGCTCATCCAAGCTTGGTGTTGCTCAAGATTCTTTGTACTAATGGGGTTTACACAACACAAGTTTTCAGGAACACAAGAGGCTTTGGAAATGTGGAGCTTTGCTTAGGGAAACCCTGTTTTGGAGAGCAATTCCCAATTCCCTCGCTATTACACATCTATTTTTCCTCTGTGTATATCTGAGACTGTTTAAGCAAAACCCTTCCCAGCTCATTAGCTTCTCCTCTCCCTCCCCTCTTTTTCCACTTGCTGGATAGGGAGATCCTGGCTGGAACAGAGATAATTTCACATCTTGGCATGGGGCTGGCAGCTTCCCTAAACAGACACACCAAACCCCAGAAGAGGAGGCATGGGCATAGCAGTGTAAACCTGTCCATCCAGGCAGGGCAGAGCCCAGAACTGGGATTCAGGGGGGCTCAGTTCTCTATGGGCTCAGAAATCCGCACCACCCATTGCCAGGAATATGTGGGGGATCCTCAGGACCAGGCACAAACACCCCACAGGCCACTCCCTGCCAGCAATAAGGCAGAAAGGCTCAATTTTGCAGGGGTTCAGATGCAGGACCTGCCCAAATCCAAACAATGATTGGCTGGAACAGAGAAATTCCAGGGGGGAGAGGCAAAGAAAAAGCAAGGCAGCTTCTCTGGTGAGCAAACCAGGCTCAGCATTCTCTTTTCTGAGTAGTTTTGTGCTGAGGGACGTGGGAGCTGTGGTGGGCGAGCGAAGCAGAGCAGGCTGCAGGAAGGACAGAGCCTGCCCAGCGCCAGCTGCAGACCAGAGCCGCACACAGACACGTCCGTGCACACACACACCCACCCCTGCAGCCACCAGTGAAACACAAACATGTTTAGGGTGAGAGGACTGAGAAATATGACCCTGGGATGTGCTCGTGAGAAACAAGCTCAGCCTGATGGGGCAAGCATCTTGCCTGGCTTTTCCCTGCAGTTTCTACCAAGGGGCTGGGGAAGAGGAATTAAAGAACTGTGCAGAGAGGGGGAGGAACTTCTTTTAACTAGTCACATGCTTGAGGACTGCATAACATTCAAAAGGGGTTAACTGGGCCTATTTCAAGGCATTAAAAATACTTTTAGCCTGCAAGGGCAGCTGACAGCAGTCCTTCAAGTGCTGAAAACTGGAATCTGCCTCTGTGTTAGCAGTTGGCCTTGCTTTTTCCCCTCTCTTCACAAAAGGGAGGATTAAAGACTTTGAAAACATTTGTTTTAAGCTGCACAGAAAGGCCAACCATCTATAACTTTCTGCATTTGGTAAACAAGCAAGCAAATGGAGAGGAACTGTCAGGCTTGTCGGGACCAGGCAGACAAGCCTGTGTCACTGAGAAGTGATCCCCAAGCTTGGTTACCCTCATACTGGGAAGACACCAGAGCACAAGGGATTCAACTGCATGGAGGGTGTGCTGGGGTGGTCTCAGGGTGGCAGGAGCAGGGGTGACATACCTGTAGCATTGGAGAGTGCCAGGGACTCCATGGAGCCCCGGGGAGTCTGCTCGGTGGGCGTCAGGTCCTCCGTGAACTTGAGGGCATTGATGGGGTGACGGGTGCGGCACTGCGACGCTGGCATCCCACCCTCCTCTTCCTCTTCATACTTGGGGACTTTGACACTTCCTCTGGTCTCTGGGAAGCTCTGGTTGGACATGTCACTGTAGCTCTCCTGCGAGCGCAGCCTCCCTGAGTAGTAGTCCTCTCTGCAGTCCTGGATGAAGCTGCCACCGTGGCTCTTCATGGCCAATGAGGAGCTCCTCTTTTGGTTGCTGAAGTGTTTCGCCCATAAATCCGACTGCGAGCTTGGGACCTGGGTGGGGTTATAGGAGGTTCTTATGTTGCACTGGCTGAGAAGCTGCAAGGGGGTTTGAGACTGGCTTTGCTCCATTTTGCCCCCATAGTGATAGAGCTCATCCCGGCTCCTCCACAAGTGGTTCCTGCTGAGGCTGGGTGTCTGGCTGGCCAGGCTCAGCAGATCCATCTGCAGGGACAGCGGGTCCACGTCGGTGGAGAGGCGGTTGGAGGTGACCTGCAGCTGGTTGCAGGGGCTGCGCGCCCCCTCCTCGCCCTTCCCCTTGTTCTTGCCGATCTTGGCACTGCGGCGCGATTCCTTGGCTCGCGCGCTCTGGAAAGCCGAGTCGGAGGAGTCGGAGCCGTTGGGGTCGTCGCCGATGCTGCAGGCCCTGGAGCAGAAGATCTGGCCCTGCTTGGGCAGGAAGGGCCGTCCCAGCAGTGACTTCTTGCACTGGGCACAGCAGAAGCAGGTCTCGGTGGCGTGCCAGTGCTGGCCGTCATACGTCATCTGGCCTTGGTCAATGCCTTGAGGGAGAAGATCAGTGTCAGGATCATCTAGCACTGCACTTAACACCTGCATCAAGGCCAGGCTGCACGGGCTCTTGAGCAATCTGGTCTAGTGGAAAGTGTCCCTGCTGATGGTGGGTGACTGGAATGAGATGACCTCTAAGGTTCCTTCCAACCCAAACTATCCTATGACTCTATGATCCCCTATGGGTGACATGCACTCAGCCTCGCTCTTGAAAGCCCTTTTTTAGGGTTTCTCTGATACATGAAGTTAATCTCATTTTTAATTCTTCCCAATTTTAATTCCAGGCCTTTGCTTGGGAGTTACTCAGTGCTGGGAAAGGCAGCAGACCCATGCCTCAAGCTATTTTGTATTAAATGGGGATATTTCCGATCATAAAGCAAAGGAATGCAAGAAGTTCTCCATAAAGTCCTTGAAGTAAAAGCAATATGATGCTTATTAAAAAAAAAAAAAAAAAGCCTCCAGCTAAACCATAATGAGGAATTTGTGCTGCCTTGGTTAAGTATGCAACAGAGCAGATGACAACTCTGTCCCTTGCTGCTACTGTGGTCCCATTCTAACTTTATTTTGGCTTCAAAAGAGCTGGCCCCAGGGGCTGAGCACACCCTTGCCTTGCACCCAGCCACATTTCCTGGGTTGCTGCACCAGGCCCCCCTTGGGTTCAGTAAAGGAATTGACACAGACAGTCTGTCTCCCTCCAGCCAAACCCCAGGGACAAACATCTGCACAGTGCTCTCAGTCAGAGCTGTGAACAAAGCTCCCGAGGTTTCAATTATAACATTTGCACACTTGTTTAAGCTGCTGTTCCTGGCCAAAGCCCTTGCTGCCCCCATTCCCTGAGAAACTGCCACGCACAGTGTGGGCTGGCTGGCATGGCGGGTGTACACCACGTGTGTGCACAGCACGTGCCTGCTCACCCGCTGTGGGGCCAAGTGCTGCCAGGTAACTTATAAATGAACACTATGTTAATGGTCTGTTTTATTCCAAGCTAAATTAGGTTTAGTATAATCAGTTTTTTCCTTCCCTTATAGTGAGCAAAATGCTTTTATCCAGCATGCTACACTTGTGGGCAAAAGAGAGACAAGATGGTGGGTGGGATTTTATCAGCTCATTTTCCATTGCCCAAAGCCATCTTGCAGAGGAAGGAGTACAGCCTCTTTACTCCATCCCCACCTACCTAACCCAAGCCCTACAAGGCTTCATCACATGCTTACCTCTGATTTATGTAGCTTGTCAGCACAGTGCCCAGTTCACTACTGTGAGCAACTTGCAGCAAAATGGTTGCAGTCCCTCCTTTGCTAGAAATGTGCAAATATGCACCAAGCCAGACATTTTGCCCTGAAAACCTGACAGTCAGCAGGCCAGCTGGAGCGAAGGACAGCAGATGGGGAAAGCACAAGAGAAGGGACCATGCAATAAACATTATCAGCTGCTTCTTCACCTTTCTGCAGCTGAGATTTTGGGAAGGATGTGCTGCAGGTCACAGTAGATGCATCCTCCAAGTGCTTCACTGAAAACCCTGTGTTTCCCCTCCCTGTGCCATCTGGCTGCTGCACAGGAGCAAAATGTTTGGTTTTTTTTATTCCCTCTGCAATATACCAAGTATTTGAACATGTAAGCTCACCTCCATGGACAAAGGAAGGGCTGTCTGCATGCTCACTGTGCTCAGCCAAGTGGCAAAGGGGGCTGGGGAGAGCAGCAAGGGACTTCCCAGCCCACCCATCTTAGGGACACTGAGGCCCCTGACTGAAGTGCATTTTAAATCACTGTTCTAGAAACATAAATTGACCCTGATGCCTTATTTCTTTCTGTCTGAGAACATCTATCTGCAAGTTGATTGAAAAAGGCTCGGAAACAATAATGATGCCTAATGAACAAGCATCTTTTCTGACAGTAGCTCATCAAATCATGTGATCCTTTGCCAAGCTTGGATGGGAAAAATCTGAATCGAAGAGCCAGGCTGTTTACAGGAAAATGGGATTTAAAGGGAAAAAAATGTGCCAGAGAAATTTTATTATGCCAGAGAAAGCCTTCCCTAGCTGCCATTGCTCCTGAAGTTGCCGTCTGATAATCCTCCCCTCTCTGACTCCAGAAAGGGACAAACAGCGGTGTAACCAAATAAATCACCACGTTATCTCCTTGGTGGGATGGGGGAGAGGCACAAGCACATTTGGCTGCCCCAGCCATGCCCAGTCCTGCCCGCAGCCCCATGGTGCTGTCAAGAGCTCCTGCCAGAAGCGGCTCCCAGCGGGGCCGTCCCTCCCACACGTACCGATGTGCTGGGCGCAGGTGTCGCAGTACTCGGCGTACAGGGACTCGAAGCAGCTGCAGCAGTAGGGCCTCCCGTCCTTCATGATGTAGCGCTGCCCCCCCAGAACCGTCTCGCACTCGAAGCAGCAGAAATGCTTCATGTGCCAGTGCCGGCCTTCGGCCTCAGTGCACTCGTCGGCAAAAATGATCTGCGGGAATAAACACAAACGTGGGGCGGGGTTGGTCAGAAAAGGGATCGGGATGCAGACACCAACCTGTATGTCTCCTGCCCTGCATGGCAGCTGTGCCCCTTTCTTGATGCAACCTCCAAATTTTACAGCTAACTCCCCCAGTCCTGCATGGGAAACTCCCATGGTTTGGTTCGTGGCAGGGGCACCCATGATTTCTTCGGAAAATCCATTAAAATGCAAATTCCTCAGAAGCATGTTAGTGGCCAGACTATAAAGTGTTAAGGCAGAGCTGCAGTAATGTGCTCACAAGCTCACCCATCAAACAGAGAGGTCGATCAGGGTAATAAACACACTTATATACAACCTATCGATCCGGTGGACTTCTGGAGAACAGAGCAGCCGCTTACCTGAACACATTTACTCATCTCTGAAACAGGGACCTGACCACAAAGGATGAGAAAAAAACACAAGGAAAAGTGACAGCTCTCTAGAGAGGAAAAAAGATGGAGCTACCTTGGCTCCTCATCTTGCTGCCCCAGTCTGGGTGTCTATAAAAGTGATTGCAGTCATTATACCAGTGAGGAAACTGAGGCACAGAACGCTGTTAAGGATGAGTTGGAGAAGCAGGCATCTAAGATGTCCTCAGCAGATGCTTTCTTGCTGTGTCATCTTCTCATCCCCACCCCAACTCAACTCCCAAAGCCAAGGGAGCCAGCAGCCCCAGATCTGCTCCCCGGTTCTCTACACTGGCACAGGGTACACCAAAAGCTTTTCCCTTACAGATCCTCCTACCCCTGAATTACTGTTTCTCACAATTAGAACTTGATGTTTTAGGGAAAGAAAAGCATGCTGAAGAATGAGCTGAATGAAAGAATTAAATGAGAATTTTCAGGGATAAAAAATACATGAAAAAAAATTACCCAGGCTAAGCCACAAAGAAATAGATCCAGTTGAATAGTTAGGGTTGTCTTTCACTGGTAACACTACAAATTTAATCACACACATACATCAATATCAATGCTCTTTATATCTGAAGAGCATATAGCCTTGGATATTTACTATTACATGCTTACAAGGATGGGACATAGTATTTTATAGTATATATGGTTTTCTACACTATGGTTTTCATAACTTTAAAAACCAGAGCAATTTCCTTCACAAGCCTTTTAAACAGAGATTGACACTTGAGAAGTGCTCAGAGGCGACTCTGTATGGTTTTCTATCTCAGTTTTGTATTCTATTTGTTCAGCTTCCTCTAGCCTGTTAATCGCCTCTCTCAAAGCCTATTTCATCTCGGCGTGTACTCAGACATGACCGACTTGTAAGAAATACAGCACTCATCCCACCAGGGGCTTCTTCTGGGGAAATGGAGGAGAAGAGAGGATCACCACACCCAGCTGGGCTAAAAACACAAAGCCAGGGGCTGTGCTTCTACTGGAAACACTCATGGAAACCCCCCAGCTTCCTGTGTGTAGATGAGGTCCTAACTCATAACAGTCCTAGGCAGACGGCAACTAAGAATATCTGAAACCTCAGGAAAAGTTTGCTTGAGCCCTTGGCAAAGCCAAGCCATCAGTTTGGTGTGTATGCCTCCAGGAAAAAGTCGGGGATGGAGGGGAAATGCCACCCAACCCTCCTGTGCCACCCCAGCGGGCAGCAGCTCATGGCAGAAGCTGTCTCTTACCTCATCGCAGGCGGCGCAGCGGGGCTTGAGGCACTCGGCGTGGTGCCTGCCACAGTAGATCTTCCCATCCTGGTAGAAGTAGATGAGGTCAACCAGCAGCTCATTGCAGACACTGCAGATGAAGCAGGGAGGGTGCCAGCAGACGCCGTGCCCTGCTCGTGAGGCGAAGACGGCCATGTCCCCTCCATTGATCTGGCCGCCGCACTGTCAGAAAAGCCGGGGATTAACGGAGGCGTGTGGGTGACCCCACTGCCACCAACAGGATGCTCTCACAATCACTGCCCTGCACAATGCCAGGAGATGAATTGACAAGTCCATGTCAAATATCCTGAAAGGTGCCTGACACACCCCAGCACTCACACCTGGCAGGGTCACAGGTAGATGCTTGTTTCGTGTCATTAAATCATGGAATGGTGTGACTTGGAAGGGACCTGAAGATCATCCTGTTCCGATCCCCCTGCCATGAGCAGGGACACTTTCCACTAGACCAGGCTCCTCAAAGCCTCATATAATCTGGCCTGAACAGTTCCAGGGATGAAGTAGCCACAACTTCCCTAGGTAACCTGTGTGAGTGCCTCAACACCCTCACAGGGAAGAATTTCTTTCTAATATCTAATCTAAACATGACATTCCCTATATCAATATATGCCCTTGTAAAAAGTCCCCGTTCAGCTCTCATGTACTGGAAAGGTTTTTAAGAACCAGAACCTTCTCTTCTCCAGGGTGAACAGCTCCAACTATCTCAGTCTGTCTTCAGAGGAGATGTGTCTCACTTAACTTGGGCGATGCAGGTACCAACCAGTTCATCAGCCACTACCCACCTGCTCACAGATGGCTCCTGTCATGGTTACAGGGAATGGCCGAACATTGCCTCTCCCTAAATTTTCCCTCTTCCTCTGGTTGCTGAAGAGTTTGAGCTCCCTCTTCTCCTCCTCATCCAATGAGTTGCAATAGCGAACCTAAAAAACACAAGAGATGCTCAGTGCCTGGGGTGTCGCTGGCTCGCCACCCAGTGAGGCCCTGTTCCCTGGGCCCTGCAAACCTCTGCCCTTGGCTGTGGGGAGGCTGGAGAAACAATGGGCTTCAGAAATCCGGGGTTTGGTCAGAATTTCAAAAGGTTGAGAAGAGATAAAAGGGCTGGATGACTGTTGCTCTTTAGGTGCTCAATTTGTAGAAAAGTCTTAAAAGTTGGGTTCTCAGAGTCACACCCAGACCAGCAATAGGACTGATGGGTTTTCCTGCCTTCTCCATCAGCCTCCTGTGGCAGAGGTCTTCATAATATTACACTGGCATTTCTAGAGCACAGACCCTTTTCTCTGTAGAAAAGACAGAGTTCCAGTGACTTGTAATCTATTTTTCCACAGGATCAAGCCTGCTCATTTTCAAAACCTCTGCATTGCAAGGTAATAAGGAAATAAGTAAAATAAAAGGATACAAACAATGAATGATGCAATTTCCCTGAAGCTTATAAAACTCTGAGGTTTTCCTGGCTATTTCCATCCTGCAGGCTTAGCTCTTGGCTGGTTGCATTTCAATGGGGAATACAACTGAAGAGCCAGGGAGGTAAAATGTAGCACCAGCACCGAATCCACCCTCCGTTACTTGGGAGAGCAGGCTCATGGAACTGAGCAGGGTTATTCACATGAGCAACCAGCACACCTTGAATGTTAAAGGGAGCAAAACTGAGCATAAAGGGAAACTGGATGTAAAATCTGCCAATTTGCAGAAAATACACACAGACCTGCAAGTCCAACTTGCAGAAAAACAGGCTGCAGTAATGGCATTTGTGTGTACTTATTCTTATGTTTCCTGGCTGTCAGGCTGTGGGTTTCCAGCAGCTGCCAGGGAAGCAGGCAGGCAGGTTGGGACCCAAGGGTGTACGGGAAGAAGTCCCTTCTTTGTGCCTGGAGCTGCCCCCATGCTGACAGTGCTGTGCCCGTGGCACCCAGCCACACGCAGGCAAACTTGTTAAAATCTGACTGAGATCAAACAAGTTACCTGCATGTATTTCCCAGAGCGGCTTCTTCAGAAAGGAGCATGAAAATAATTTTTTTTGTTTACACAGGGAAATTTTGTGTGTTACCAGAAGCCAGTGTTCTCACTGGTGAGATCAGGACGTCAAAGACCAGACCCTTTTTGCTGCCTCACATCATTCCTGTGAGATGTAAGAAGGTTTATTTTGCTCTGACTGATTTTGACTCAACCTGCGGCCTCACAGGCTCTCCCAGCTCGTGAGGCTCAGCCCAGAAAGCCCCTCCTTAGCACACTTACTCCCACTCCAAGGTGAGTCGGAAGCAGCACCTGGGAAAAGGCTTTTGCAACTTTGGATCTGTCTCTAGATAATCTCAACAGCATTCCAAGTCACTTTTAACAGGGACTTGGCCTCCAAGGGCTGAGAAAATGCTTTTATTTCAGACAGCTGAAGAAAGATGACTTTAGAAAATTTTAACTTTAGAAACAAACAACTCCCCACCTCCAACAATCAAAGCAGGAAGCAAATACAGCAACTTAAATAGCAACGTGACCGAAATTCAAGTATATCCCCCTGAAAAGCAAAAGGAGCTGAGGAAGGAAAGCCATGCTTCCCACAAACAACCCCAGGAGGAGCGTCCACTCCCCACCCGCAGCTGTGCTGATGTCCAAGGACATTTTCTGGATACTGACCTCATTGTCATGTGGTGGCAGCTGGTGAAGAAGTTGCTTTATGCGAGATTTTTCTCCCGGGCTGTTGACATAGGGAACCTTGTCCTCGGGCAGGCAGCTGTAGTACTGGTGCACCTATGGAGCAAGAGAAGGGACTGCAGTGGTGTCCCTGGCCGAGCCCATGCCCCTGTGCCCGGCCAGCAGCCACCCCCTGAGGCAGCAAGCGCTGGGTCTTCCCCAAGATTCTGAGCAGGGAAACACTGCCAGGAACTGCTTCGGGTTTGTTTTCTTTTGTCTTCCAAGGCAGAGGGGTGGCAGCCCCGGCGAGGTGGGCACGTTACCGTTTGCTCTGTCAGCCTCCATAGCGTGAGCATTGCGCCGGCTGCGGGGATGTGTCGGCACCTGCCTCGGCAGGGAGGTTAAAAAGGCTGCGCCCCAGCAGTCTCCGTGTTGCTGGCTATCTCAGCCTCCACCTCCATCAAACCCCTCCGGGCTTTTTTCTGCAGCAATTTGTGGAAATAAACAGCAGATAAAATCTGTTGGAAGGCTTAGTTTTTCTCTTTCGTCTCAGAGTGTGTAATTAAAATCAGCTATTAAAAAGGCTGAGGAGCAGCGTGCCCGACGCTGGGAGCGCAGTGCAGCCCGGAGAGGAAGCACACCCTGAACCCCAGCATCTCTCCTCCGACTGCCACACCTGGGATGTGCGCTCAAGGGCCGGGCCAGCACCGGGAGGGGACTCACTGGCTGAGGATCCGCTCTGAAACAGCCACGGTGACGTTGAACGGCTTGGGAAGAACCAGGAGAAGGTAAAGGTAAGCTCAGCTGGATTGGGATTCACTGCAGCCCCAGATGTCTCCAGATGCTTGGGCAGAAGCAGAGGGCTGGCTGGCTTCCTTAAATCTGCTCTTGGCTGGAGAGATGCAGGCTGTTCTCCCAGAGCACACAGCTTTCTGCCTTTGTCATGGTGGGATTAGCCCCAAGATGCTCCCTCAGCTATCAGCAATTCATTTTGGAGTGGCTGCACTGCCTGCAGCTTTCACAGGGCTTTTCCCAAATAAGACTCCCTTTGCAGTGGTTTCTGATCAGCTTTTTCCCTTGCTGTATGCTTTGGACTTTGGCCTAGAAAGCATCACCTGGGCCAGCTCTCTCCAGAGAAGCCCTCCCTGCCTGCACAGCCCCACGGCATCTGCAGATGGCAGGGTGCTGTGGGGCACTGGGAGGAATGGGGACACGAGCTGGTCACACAGGGCTGGCTGGCAGGGGAGCTCACCCATGGGCTCGCAGGCTGATAGGGGTGGCTCACACACAGTTATCTTCTACAGAAAGAAATACCCTTTTATTCCAGAGTAACTATCCAAATCTAGCTGCATTCAGGAATAATTGCTCTGCATTCATCTCACTCCCTGCTCTCATTCAAAACTACCTGAGAGCAAGAGCTGCTCCAGTGGTTTTCTCAATTTATGGTTCCTCCCAAACCGATGTCACCATCCTCCTTCCCCCATCATCAGGTTTTCCAGAAAGGGAGATTTTAGCAGATTTCTACATGCAGGTCTGCAGTGCTGATGACAAGGGAACTGCTCATGTTGCAAAGCTGAGGAACATGCTGAGCATATGCCACTGCAAAACCCTAAATTTGTTTTGCTAAGGCACAGCAGAAACAGACCCACCAGCTATGGAAACTGTCAAAGAAAGAATGGCTGCAAAGTATTTTGTTATGTTAAAAAGAAAACAAACTACATACATTAGAATACTTACTTTGCATTTATAGAGCATCCTTCATCCAAGAACATCAAAGCACATTAAAAACACTAAAATTCTTATGACGTGTTACACAACGTAGCAAATATAGACATTGCAAAGGACTAATTGCAGCATCATGATGTTAAATGAGCTCCCTAAGTTCATGCAGCAAGTCTGCAGCAGAGTTTACAGCTGAAAATCTCCCAGCAATGCCCCAGCTGCCACACCAGACCCTTTCCTGGGCTGCCAGGCTTCCACATGGCCATGCTGTGCGTGCCTGGCCAGCACACGCTCCTGTGGCTTCTCCTGCCAAACTCCCCACGTGCAGAGATCCTGTTCACTGTGCCCTGTGCTCACATTGGTTAGCTTGTGTTTTGATTTCTTGCAATGAAGTTTTTTTGCCCACCCAGTCCTTGAAGTTGGTGGAGACCATAAATTACTTTTTTTTTGAAGAGCCGCCAAATTACTAAAGCGATGAGCCCCAAGACGCTCACCCTGGGCAAAAATCAAGGATGGGAGCTCTTCCTTCAGCTGCCTGGGTGCTGCCTTCCCGGAGCACAATCCAGCAGGACGTACATGCCCAGCTCCGCTCCTGCTTCCGCTGGGAAGTTTTCCATTTACTCCCAACAGGACTGCAGGAACTGGTTCCCATCACACCAGCAACATAGCTTGGCAGGGATGGGCAATTTGGTTTGAGCAGCAAAACAAAATAAATACAACAGGCTCCAACCTGTGTTCTGTTGCCTGAAATAACCTGAAAGGGTTTGCTTTGGATCTGCATCAGCCACAGGGACCTTCTAGAGGAGTGCTCATGGAGAGGATGGAGCAGAGGCAGCTGCCAATCCTTGTCCAGTACCTGTGGAACATCTCATGGGGAGAAAATCCTTAATGCCTGCCAATGGCTTTTTGCATCCACCATCCCCTGGAACCAGAGGGATGCACAGATCTTTCACCCAGGACATCACTTCTATCCCAAGAGATCCATTCAGAGGGCAGATGAAGAGCAGAAGGACACCCCTTGCCCAGGCTGAAATTAGGCCATGCCTGTGCATATAACACTCTCTCATCCATCATGTGTTCCCATGGCATGAACCCAGCTGCTTGGATAGGAGACCCAAGACTGGGAGGGACAGGGACACAGCTGCCAGTGTCCCTGCCTCTGTGCCCAGCTGGCTGCTGACAGCATTTCTGACCTGGCGTGGGAGCAGCTGGCAGCTGGGCTGGCACAGGCCTGCATGATGCTCAAAAATAAAGAAGGAAAAGGGGATTCTTAGATCTACCTGGCTTTTCAGGGAAAAAGCCTGCAGAAAGTGTTAACTTGCTGGGAAACTAAAACTGCTCAGCCTGAACGTTGCTTTTGTAAAAAAGGTCACTGTTTTATGCTAAAGTAACTCCTCCTCTATCCAGTTCTGTGTTGCAGCACGCACAAGCCTTGTAGCTGGTGAGCTTGCAGGGCCAGGGCCAGACCCCCCACGTGCCTGCTGATGGCTCCTCACTGCCCTTACAGGCTCTGCAACCCAGATAAGGATAACAGTGCGGGCAATAACCCCAGAGAGATAGCATTTCCTCTTCAAACCATGCAGTATCTGGAACTGTTTTATTATTAAATACTTCTGCTGTACAACACAGCAGCTCTGCATCCTCCTATTGCCTCTTGCAACAGATTTGCTCTGACCATGGTTATCCCAACAAGCATCATTAACACACAGGAGCCCCCTGTGGGGCAGGACTAAGTTTCATCCTCAGTTTCCCCACTTGTTCCACTTCACTCTGACTTCTGCATGAGAGAAATCCCAAAAGAGACTGGAAAACATCATGCTGAGTTAAAATAAAGCTTCACACAACATCTCAAAGTCGCAGATGCCATGGGCATGGTCTGGTCAGTACACTGGACACGGGGAGAGCTGTGGGTGCTAGGTGCCATGGGATACTGGCAGGCTGGGCAAGCTCCATCCTGTCCCAGGGAGGTCCCACTTGGACTAGCTCCATGCTACCAGAACCTGGCACAGCAGATTCCCAAGGTGTTATTCTCACCTTCACAAGGAAAATGTCCAAACACCAACTTTTGCTAACAAAAACCGATACGCATTTTGGAATTTAACAGCTGCTTGATGCTAAAAGGGAGGAGGGGAAGAGGGGGAGGTAGAAATTAAAAAAGTAACAAACCAGGAGAAAGGAAAGAACACAATATAAAAACAGGGTAGGAAAAAGCCTTTAAACTGGAGCCAACTTTATTCAAAGGCACTGAGGAGAGTAATTACATTAGTTTACAAATGCCTTTGTGTTCTGTGGTCTTCTTAGGTTTGGAGTATGTTTCCAGTTAAACTCTGACAGTTTACAAACCTACCCTGGCCCTGCTAAATAAAGGCAGGACTACAGCTTGTCCTGGAGGTCCCAGGGTGACCAAAGACAAAACCCACATGAGCATATCTGTGAGCAAAGCCTTACACCTCCTAGAAGGAAAAGTTTGCAAACATCCTGTAAATTCAAGCTATTGGTGAAGGACCTCTTTGATCAATGAATTAAAGGAGGTGGAGGGGAAATATCATATTTCTTACGCCACAAATTGCTGTTGGGAAGTAGCATTTGGCTGTACTCGCCCTGAACACAACGGCCCTTCCTAAAGCACCCACCCAACCGGGCTGTTTGGGATGACTGTATGGCTGGGATGGACTACAAAGGAGCTCACGGTGTCCTGGCACGGGTGCTGACTTGCTCAGCCCTCACAGCTCCAGCACAGCCAGCTGGGCAATCCTTCCTGGCTCTCCTGAAACCAAACTAACTGCAAAACCAACAGCAAGGCTTTTGCAAAGAGCCCTGTGAGGGCAGGACGTGCTCGCCTGTGAGCAGTAGGGTGCTTGAACACGGATGTTCCCAAAAAGGGGATCTTGGTGAGTCAGCCAGCACTCAGGCACAGCGCAGTAAAGCATCACACACAGCAGAGTCTGTTCAAAATACAGCATTCCCCAATGTCCCACCCATGCCCAGGACAGCATCATTTCTCCTGGGAACATGCCAGGGTACCACAGCCCTGGCAGCCCATTCCATGACACCCAGGGATGTTCTGTGGCAGCACAGAGAGCTGGTGGCACATTGATGTTTGTGTGCTCAATTGTGGCCCCTTCTTCTGGCTCACTGCTGCGTGCAAACTCCCACGGGATTTGGCTGCTGAGGGAAGAAGGCAGCCAGTGGCTCTGACAAGCCTGTGCTGGCCTGGGCGAGCAGGGCTGCTCCTGTGGCTTGCCTGCTCCTCCCCAGTGCCAGCTTCTGAACAGCACACGTCAGGCTTTAATGATCCTTTACACCGAGCACTTAAAAGTGACAGACAAACGAACCTGATGCTTTTGTATGTCTCTCATTCCTGCTGGCCTCCCTTGCAAAAGCGAAGGGGAAAA